GAGCGCTGGATGGCTCCGCCCAGGCCCCAGCCTAAAGCCTCAGTCTGAGGCTTGGGTCTGCCGGCGGGATCGGGTCCCAGGCGACCGCCGGCACTCAGGCCCCCAACCCGCTATCGCAGGTTGAGGGCGTGAGTGCAGGAGGACGCCGCAGCCGCCCCGCTGGCCCGCGTCCTGTTCTGCCGGTGGAATCGGTCTGGTTTGGGGGCGTGAGTGTGGGCGGATGCTGCAGTCACCCCGCAGGCCTGTGTCCGGGTCTGCTGGGGGAATCGGGTCTTGGGTGACTGCTGGCACTCACACCCCCAACCCGCTCTCAGATGGTGCGGTACCATCCTGCCTGCAATATGCAAATTAGCCGCCATCTTTTTTGGCGGTTAACTGCCATCTTAGTTGGCAGTTAATTTGCATATCTCGCTGATTAGCCAATGAAAAGGTTATCGGTCGTACGCCAATTACCATTTTTCTCTTTTATTAGTTTAGATATAGATAGCTCCTGTTATTTAACCATCCTTTTATTCAGAGAATGAACTCTACAGTGGTTACAATGAAAACCTGGTAGTATTTTTTGCAACTTAAAAAATTTTATTTACTATGTCCTTATAGTTGAGATTGGCCGCAGATTTTATTTCTTCTGGATTTGTTTTCAGGATTGTGCCACTTTGATAAGTAATTGAACTTTCAGTCTCTTTCTGATATATTTTAAATTACATCATAATTTTTTGTTTCTTGTGGGTATGGTAGAATTTGCTTAAATCATCTAGCCCTGACCCTATTTTTGGGGGGATATGTAAATCACCACTTTGACGTTATCTTACTATCTATATATATATAAAAGCCTAAGCGACTGGCTGACCAGATGACCATTTGACTGTCCGACGGGTAGCTATGATGCACACTGACCACTAGGGGACAGATGCTCAATGCAAGAGCTGCCAAGCTGCAGTGACTTGGCAGCTGTGGTTCTTGGGTGACACACCCGGAACCAGAGAGGAGGGAGCCCGATTCCAGGGTGCATCACCCGAGAACCGCCCTTTCTCAATATGAGACCCCTCAGTGGATGTTGGAGAGCCAGTTTAGGCCCTATCCCCGCAGGCCAGGCCAAGGGATCCCACCGGTGCATGAATGCACCGGCCCTCTAGTCTATCTATATACATAAAAGCCTAAGCGACCGGCCAACCGACTGGCTGACCGGGAGCTATGACGCGCACTGACCACCAGGAGGCAGACTACATAGGAGCAGAAACCACAGGCATGGAAACATGGAACAGACTGATGAATCTCAGAGGGAGGGGGGAAGGACGGGAAGAGATTAACCAAAGATCTTATATGCATACTAGAGGGCCTCTAGTATTTTTATAATTAAAGAAACCTCATGATGGTAGTCATGTTTCATTTTGCTCTTGTAGCCCCAGCACTTAATAGTACAATGCTAGGCACAAAGAAAGTGTTGAGAGAAAATTTGTTGAATGACTCCTAATAGGCTTGAATAGTGATTTTACTTTGCTAAAGTTTTATTTAAACTATGTTAATTTTTTTTATTTAATTTCTTCCTTTTTTTTTTCTCCTCAAAGTTCCACTCTTATCCTGGGGACCCAGCTTTAACTTTAGCATCTGGTATGTTGAACTTAGTGGCATTGATGATCCCGATGTAGTACAACCTTGTCTCAACTGGTACAGCAAGGTAGGACTGTATTTTAAAATCCTCATATCATGTTTCTAATGCCTGTAAAGAGAGGATTGTGTTACTCTCTTGTCTTCATTGAGAATAGTTTACAATACTGAGAATAATGGTAATTATTATGATTAACCAACTAATTGTATTAGGCATTTATATTCTCTCAGCTTCTAAGCAGCCTTTATTACTTATTAAATCATTACCACTCTATGAGATCAAGTACAGTTATTATCTGTATTTTATAGATGATGAAATGGAGCACTGAGAGGTTAAGTATTTTGCCTAAGATCACATAGTTATAAAGTGGTTAAGCCAGTATATAGACTCGGGCATTCTGGCTCCAGAATCTGCCATTATAGTATTACTATAATCTGACCATTAATTTTGTTTTTAACCTATATTGATTGAAATATTTAAACACAGTTTTTAGTTGGATAGTTTTGGTTCTAAATTGCTTTTGTCATATATGCCTTCATTCCTATGAAGAATTCCTTTATAAGTTTTGCTTTTCCTTTTAAAGAATTTGAAACAGTTTCTATAAATATTATGATCTTGTGTTTACAGCAAAAAGAAAAATTAAATTTACAGTTTTTAAAAATATATATATTTTTTATTTTAGAGAGGAAGGGAGTGGGAGAGAGAGCTAGAAACACCAGTGATGAGAGAGAATCATTGATCAACTGCCTCCTGCATACCCCCACTGGGATTTGAGTTGTGACCTCTTGGTTCATAGGTTGATGCTCAACCACTGAGCCACGCTGGCTGGGCATATTTAACGATTTTATTCATAAGTCATTTTATATAGATTCGGCTGAGAAATGTGAGTTTAAATTATTGAGAACTAGGCGTTCTGCTTTTAAAATATCTTCCATGCTTCATTTTTGTTTTTAATGTCTATTTATTTGACTCTTGGCTAATTTGGGGGAAGGCCTCTTTCTTGTCAATCTACTCACTAGTTCCTGATATTTTTATTTGTGAGTAAACTGATTTACTCATAGGAGATTGGGAAACAATATAGTATTTTTGTATGGAATTTCAGCTTTTTTGGTCAGTTTAATTGAGAAATTTTTGACTAATTTATTTTTGGCATTTGATTATATTCAATTTAAAATAGATGCTGACTTTTCTGTATATTTTTGGATCTCAATATTGTAAATTCTTTCAAGATAAAGACGATATTTTTAACCGTTAAGAAAACACCTTTACAGTGTAATTCACATAATAGATAGTAAGTTTTGGAAAGGTGCTTCTTTAAGTAAAAAAGATTTAGCTCTTCTGATAGTTGAATTTTCCCTTTAATCTATGAAATGAATGTGTGTTTTCTTTAATGTATTCACATGAACTCTTGATATTTCAGGAAGTTGCAAATTTCACCTCTTTCCCCAACACTGTGGAAAGATTATATTTGAGAACTTAAAGTTGTTCAACCACGTTCACTTTTCAAGTTGTCTATATTTACTCTGAACCTCTAGAAATTAAAATTAAAGTCTTTACCCTCTGAGAGTCAATCCTTTTTGAAGCATTAAAATTCTATTATTTCATAAATCTTCTACTATGTATCTACATGCCACCTGATAGAAAATTTAAATGGGGATATGATTCAGACTCCTATGGTCAACACAATAAGAAGGTATTACTGTTTAATATGGTTCTGGATAGTTATGATAAATTTGTATTTACAGGCCAAGGGTAAGAAACTAATAATGTAAAATTAGTTTGGGTATAGAATCATTTTTTTATTATTTGATGAGGGAGAATCTTGGTTAACTATAGTGCTTAAGGAAGTATTTTTGATAACCTTTTATTAATAAAAAAAATCAGCCAACTGATTTTTTTTTCTTGTGAAGCTTCCTAAAAGGTAGCATCTTATTTTCCTGTTTTATTAAAAGATATTGCTTACAAGTAAATCATATTTTTGTTTGATTATCATGTATTGCTTCTGTGTCATTAGTTTTGTTCATTCTTATTTAGAAAATTTGGAAATCTCAAAGCGTATTCTTGAATTTACTGTTTATCTTTAAAAATTCTTTATATGAGCTTGTATTTTTGGCATTCATCCTATTACAGAAAGATTTAGTAAACTAAACATTCCTGTTTTGGAATTCTAGTTCATTGAGATTTTTACTTATTGCTGTTTAAATAGATGAAGTAGTCGAGGATTAGAAATAATTATACAATTTAAGTAGTCTCTTTCTCATGATTTTGAGTCATAAAACCTGTTTGTGAATTTAAAATACATAAATATTTGATAATATTTGTCACTCAAGTAATAACTTAATACTAAAGAACCAAGAATAAAAAACATAATATAATTTATGTATATTATTTAATGGTTTCTATGCTTTCAGTACCAACATTATAATCTGATTAGTAAAAGCCATGAAGTTATAATTTTTGCAATCTTAAGGGGGCTTTCATAAATAGTTTCTCTGCTTTTCTTGAAAGTTGAGGCTCTAGAATTAGGTCTGGTTTCATCCATATCTTTCATCTTCATGAAAGCTATATCATATATCTTTATCTCATTCATATCTTTCTGTTACATACTTTGTGATCTTTGACAGGTTATTATAATTGACTAAGCATCAGTTTTGCCATTTAAAAATAAAAATAATGCTATAAGGAATAGGGTTAGCACATAAAAAATGCTCACTTTAGGTTTGTTAGTTGTCACTCATTATTCCTTTAGTAATAACTAAGCAAATCTCTTCTTTTCATATTTTCTCTTGTGTTCCAGTAGTACCGTGAACAGGAAGCCATTCGTCTTTGCCTAAAACACTTTAGACAACACAATTATACAGAAGCCTTTGAATCACTACAAAAGAAAACCAAGATTGCCCTGGAACATCCTATGTTAACAGATCTGCATGATAAACTGGTGTTGAAGGGTGATTTTGATGCTTGTGAAGAGCTGATTGAAAAAGCTGTAAATGGTATGTTATAGACATTAAACTTAGTTGGTTATTAGTGTGATTTCAAATATATTCAAGAAAGTTTTTTTTAAAAAGAATGTACGCTTATGTGGGTTATTAGTTTATTTTATTTTATTTTTGTTGTTGTTTGTTTTTTCTCTGTAAAGATTGTTAGATCCTTGGTTAGGAACCTCTTTTATTAAGATAGGTCTACAATGTAATGAAACTTGAAAAACAAAAAAGAAGCACATTGAATCACATAGCTAAATCTAAGTTGTCTTCTTGGGAAACTATGCACTTATAAATGAATGGTAACATTGACTAGCACTAAACCATGTTGGAAAAGGCTTTTAATGTTACCCTCAGTATTAGTAGCCTATTTATTTACGTTATTTTTGTTGGTAGCAAATTGTCATTGTTTAAAAGTGTAATTTGGCCCTAACCGGTTTGGCTCAGTGGATAGAGTGTCGGCCTGCAGACTGAAGGGTCCCAGGTTCGATTCCGGTCAATGGCATGTACCTTGGTTGTGGGCACATACTCAGTAGGGGGTGTGCAGGAGGCAGCTAATGGATGTTTCTCTCTCATTGATGTTTCTAACTCTCTATCCTCCCTTCCTCTCTGTAAAAAAATCAATAAAATATATTTAATAAAAAATAATAGTGTAATTTGAGGAAAGAGATGATGGATAAGCCAAAAATGTCATTAATAGACGGTTATAATGAATGAGGAAATTTATAATAGAAACATCTTCTGTGTGGTGTGAATGCTACATAGTTGATGATATTCTTGGGTTTTGAAAGAAATGTGAATGTTAGAACAATGTAATCTCGCAAGGTAACTATGTTGTAGGATGACACCCATTTGAATATTTAAGGTCTGATATGTTTTGTTCTTTTACAAAGGATCTCTGTTGTTGTTTTATAGCAGCAGTTTTCAATCTTTTTCATCCCATGGCACACATAAACTAATTACTAAAATTCTGCAGCACACCAAAATATATGTTTTGCAGGTCTGACAAAAGAAAAGATATAATTTTGATTTATTCACATTGAACAGCCATTGCTGTGTTGACAGCTGTCATTTTTTTATTTGACAATCTAAGAGAAAAGAGGTTAGTGCCCTAGACTAAATAGTCAGGCATTGCGCCCGGCTGGTGTGCTCAGTGGTTAAGCATTGACCTATGAACTAGGAGGTCACAGTTCGATTCCCAGTCAGGGCACATGCCAGGGTTGTGGGCTTGATGCCCAGTGTGGGGCATGCAGGAGGCAGCTAGTCAATGAATAATTCTCTTCCAAAGTTGGTGTTTCTAGCTCTCCTTCTCCCTTCTCTCTGAAACCAATGAAAAAAAACAGGTATTGTATGTTTTAAAATTGCATACCATTTGAAAATCTCTGCTTTATACAATGGCATCCTTTAAAACAGTTTCCCACAATGACTTCCATGGTGACAAAGAACAGAATAGGTGCTTCTGAATAATATATATATATATTTGGCCGAAACCGGTTTGGCTCAGTGGATAGAGCGTCGGCCTGCGGACTGAAATGTCCCAGGTTCGATTCTGGTCAAGGGCATGTACCTGGGTTGCGGGCACATCCCCAGTAGGAGATGTGCAGGAGGCAGCTGATCGATGTTTCTCTCTCATTGATGTTTCTATTTATATTAAATATATATATATATTTGGTCTTTGTACAGTTCCTGGCACACAGCTTCTATAGCCCTTGGAATCTGTGGAAGGATAAGAGTGTCTTGCTTGCTGAGATGACTGGTGGCTGGGTTCCTAGATAGCTTCAGATCTCCAGAAGGGCCAAAACATGTGATTAGAGGCTGGAAATTTCAGTAGCACCTCCCTCACCACCTCTAATGAGGGGAGAGAGATCGGAGATTGAGTTTAGTCACCAACAGCCAGTGGAACCTCAACAAAAAAAGGCCCTAAACAACTTGGCTCAAAGAGCTTTCAATTTGGTGACCACATGAGAGCGCTGGGAGAGTGGTCTGCCTAGGGAGGGCATGGAAGCTATACACACACACTTGCTCCCAATACCTTGCCCTATGCCTTTCTTCCATTTGGCTATTCCGGAGTTGTATCCTTTATAATAATAATAAGTAAATCACTCTCCTGAATTATGTGATCACACTGAGTTATTGAACTTTGAGGAGAGTTGTGGGAAGCCTTGATTTGTGACCTCTGGGACTTGTGCTTGGCATCTGAAGTGGGGATCATCTTGTGGGACTGAGCCGTTTAATTTATGGAATCTGATGCTTAACTCCAGATAGATAATGTCAGCATTAAATTGAATTGTTGGATACCTGGTTGGTGTCAGAATTAGAGAAATGGTTGCTGTAAGAAAAACCCCCATACATTTGGTGTCAAAAGCATTGTGAGTAAAAGCTGCTTAATGCTTGATGCTTGATATAAAACTTGTGGAATAAAATTTGGTGAATCTTTTATAGAAAGAAATAAAGAACCATAGACTTTCTCAATGTTTTTATATATTTTAATCTTATCACTGTTATCATCTAATATTATTAGGTACTCACTTATCAGATATTGGTAGCATTTTACAAAGGAAGGAAATAGAACCAAGTACTGCCTTCTTTATAAATTTAAAGTTAACTTAAATTGAGGTGCTTCTAGCTCCATTGAGTTACAACAATAAACCTGCCTCTCAGCCTTGTACATTGTTATTGCTTATTTAATTGGTAATGATGCCTGCAAATAAATGATTATTATGTATGAAATAGAATATACTTTGGAATATAAACAAATAAAATATATATGATAATCCTCCCCAAACCATAAAACTGCCACTAGTGAAAGGATATGTGTATGCATGTATGCCATTTCAGAGAACGAATTATATATATTTTTTAAACTTACAGAATAAGAAAGACACAAGTAATTTTATGAGGTTTTTGTTTTATTTCAAATTCTTGTCCTGTAATATTTTGTTAAAGTAAAGTAAACAATAATAACAACAAGAACTGACAACTTTCTGTAATTCTTAGGCTAAAAGCAGTTACATTTTAAAACTGTCTGTTTAGCTATATACACATTTAAGAGAATTTCTTAAAATCATGTCCAACTCATATACTATGTGGACTTATCTTTCCTGCTCTAGGAAGGAACCAAGTTAAATTGGTAGTAACTATTCTTGAGACTTAGAGCCAAGTCATATTTTTTGTACTCCTCAACTGGCTTGCAATAGTGTTTAGTTAATAAACATTCTTTCCAGGGTTGTTCAGTTTGCTGCTGACTTCACTGATGATAATTTGTTGGACAAATAAGGAAGTAAACATTGCAGAGTTTTTTGGCTTCTGTTCCACTAAAAACATAGCAGAAAAGGGCAAGAAGTTCCTCCTTGCTAAATAGGAAAGTCTAGAGAATCCAAAGCATCTTTTATTAAGCATCTTATAATGGGGGAAACAAAAATTTCCATATATATATATAGTATATTACACTCTTCAAGTATGGTCTATATTTTAAGAAAGTGTCTCTAATTAGCTTTATATTTGCCTAGAAATATCTTTACATTAAGGGTGATTCCTGAACCAATCACTGCCCCTTCCTTTCTGACACTGCCAGGGGAAAAAGGAAGAATCCAGTGATGATGGGCAAAAGTAATCACCTAGGAACAGGAAATTATCAAAGAAAACCTATTTTTGCAGTATTTATCTTATTTCCTTTTGAAATAAAAGTTTACTTTTGTGAAAAAAGGGTGAATTAAAGTTTCATAAATAGCACTCCAACAGGCTCACTAGTCTGAATTTCCTAAAGTTTCAACTTGAGGCCTTGGTCTTCTTTCCTCCCTCTCCTTTTACCTCCTTTTCCTTCTCTT